CACCGCTGCCTCTAACTTGAGATCTGCCGCGTACGGAATCGCTGGCAAAACGCGCTGGGAAGTCAAAGGTTTGTGAACTTGTGATATCGTTAAGGCGATGTGCTGACGATCATGTACCGGCAGAGATGGCTGGCAACATCATCCCTGCCATTGCAACCACCAATGCCATCATCTCTGGTCTCATCGTCCTCCAGGCGTTCCATCTTCTTCGCAAATCATACAACAAACTTCGCAACGTCCATGTACAATTCAAACCTACCATGCCGCTCAGTAGCATCAGCATGAGTCCTGCGAACCCTGATTGTGGGATATGCCGAGATACCTATACTGAGCTTCTCTGTGATCCATCCAGGGTCACATTAGGTGAAGTTGTGAGCGGCATCCTTGGCGAAAACACCAGGGATGTTAGCGTTTATGAGGACAAACGTGTACTCAGTGATCCAGACTGGGATGACAATCTGGAAAGAACATTGGAGAGTCTCAATGTGACTCGAGGGAAATTCTTGTCTATCGTCGACGATGACGGTGAGTACGAGACCATCCAAGTTGGCATTGGCGCGCTACCGTGAGTCGTGATATTCAAGTTCCTTATCGATATTCCTAACTTTACGCTGTTATAGACCGAATCATTCTGTCGACGAGTCCTCATTCATTCTTCCCAATCCTCTTCCATCTCCACCTAAGAAGGTTAAACCTGCTCCGCCAGCACCTTCGACGCCACCCCCGCCACAGTCAAAGAAGCGTCCCGCCCCAGACGATGGCGAAGCACCTTCTGCGAAGAGACCACGAACGGTTGACGATGCCTCTTTTACTCCCAGTAAGAGACGACGTCTGGAAGATGATGGTCTCATTCTTCTGGACTCTGCAGATGAAGTTATAGACGATGATGCTGTTATAGTTATTGACTAACCTTTACGTATTACTGGACTATTTTATTCTATTCCTTCATGCTGACTGTTTTAGTTTATTGTCTTATCAATGTTCAGTAATTCATAGGTCACCTCTTCACCCCTCTCTGTCGACTAACTACACCTAATTTTGTGATCCTACCAACTCCAACTTGAGGTGAGCTGTTCTATTTCATTTCATAGGAATCGGGATCGGGCGTTTCTTGGCACGGGATCTCTTGCGTTTATTACCATATCCGGTAACCTCTTCATTTCGAGGCCTAATTGCCAAAGCGGGACTGACAATAAGCCATTCAAGCGGAAACGCCGTGTAACTCGCCATACCTTTTCCCACCTCATGATGCAATCCTTTTTGTCTGGTGCTAAAGGAGGCAAATGGAAGCGAATTATGGAATTGCCATCAAAATGTCTAGAAGACCTTTTTGTCTCGCACTATCGTGACCCTCGAGGTACATATACCTGGTGGCCTCAATCTCAAGCTCCTGACTTTCTGTCTCTCATCTCATCCTAGACGACAACCCCGGTGGTCTGTCGTTACGCGTTTTCGGTGGCCATCTCACTCTCCTACCTCCTAACATCGTGTTATCTTCTAATTGCTGACTCCTGGCCATGTCGAATGTATCTCATGCAGCAATCGTATTCCCTCGCCCTCCGCCGACATGTAATACTCTGACACCGGAAGAACGTGCAAAGCTGTTGCGTTCTACTGCTAAGCTGGGGCAGCTGTTAGGTAGTACACCTCATGTCGTCGATGAGATCACAGATCGTGAGTCGCCACATGCTTCTAACCCATCCTTACGCCACAATTACTGATATCCACTTACAGTCCCGATGAACAAACCCCTACCTCTTCCTCCACTTCCTGGAAAACCTAGGAGATCCGGATTGAGTGGAGTGGCCTCTCGCGATGAGAATGCCGAGTGGCAGAAGATCCGGGTTCATTCACCCGACTCCGTTTCCTCCTCCACTTCAAGGGCCAGCACGTCGTCGTCAAGATCTTCTCTATCCCACTCCGCATCGGCTATTGCGACTAACGCTGAGACAGAAGAGGGGTGGAGAGTTCGGTTCTCTGGACTCCGTCCTCCATTATTGCGACTAGGATTTGGCAAATCCGATAAGATCCCCACATATACACCACCACCCTCGTATGACATGGATACGAGTTTCCCAGACACTGAAACCTCTCCGCCACCGAACTTCGTTATCCGCTCCGATGCCTCTATCAAGAGGGAGAAGATGCGTAGATTGACAAAGAAGCTTGGCGAAGGAGTTCCCGTCGATCTCGTGTTCCCGCCTTCAGTGGCCGAGGAAGACGAAGAAGTAATCATCCATAGCCCGTCATCACCCTCATCACCTTCGAGTACCATGTCATCTAATAGCTCGTTGGATTCTGCGACATCATCCTCATCTACTTCTACAACCTCAACCCTGTTATCTGTCCAATCCGATTCCTCCAGTAGTTATGGGAAATCGAGAATGCGACACGAATCGTATTATCAAGCTCCTCGAAGGTCACATTTCGTCAAGGATCTTCCCGACTTCCCTTGTCAAGAACGTCAGTTGACGATTCACTATGAAACACCAGAAGAACATGGATACGGTTCGGAGACCTTCGAGGGGTTGAAACGTGCTATCGCTCCAACTTCGCGAACGAAAAGAGCACCTGTACCTCGGAAGCCTGTTCCTCGGATTCAGATTCCTTAATTTATCTTATTATTTCGATCTCGTTATTGCATTTATTGGAAACGGGTTTCCAGTACTAACCGTTCTTTGGACATTCGTTTCTCGTTTTTACTCATTGTATTGTTTTCTTGACAGCATCGTTTTCTTCATCTCGTTTGTTTTGGGCTTTGTATGACATCTTTATTATAGCTATCATTTAGGATCCTGTCCATCTTAACGATGGAAACACTAGGCTACTGCATCAATCGAACTTCTTATTGTGCACCCATCGCTTCTATCAGAGCAAGACTATCTCGACAGCAAACCTAGATCGTGACACAGTTTGAAATGAGTATTAATGGCGCTGTAATGCTTGACATGATGATCGAAATATAACTTAATGGGTCTAAGTAAACGGGACTTGAGAGGCAGTTCTGAATAGTAAATACAATCTCAAATAATTTTAAATACCATCCCTCCGAAGGACTTGCCTAGTGCATTGGGAAATAGAATGCATCCAAAGTAGAGAAGCAGATCTTGTTGGCCCAGTTGTGGGTACGGGTCTGCTTAACATTTCGAACATGATATAGAAATTGAATTGTATACTTGATCTTCAATATAGGATTCTATCTATGAGGCCTGAGGAGTAGCCACCACTTATGATACATGCCAGTGGCTGGAACGATCACTTTAATGATCAGACAATGCTAACACTCCATACCAACATGTTCGTCTGGTGTCGCGCCTGGAAAACTTGCGTATTAAACCCTTCCGTTAAGGAAGCTTCCACCTTGACATGATTCTCCGCAAAGTCCGCAGATACAAGCTCCGTGAAGACCTTCTCCCAAAGTTTCGGCCATGAAGCGGGCGAATGGCCATAACGAATTCTAAAAATAAATATACACCATATCATGGAGTCAATCCGCTATCAATAGAATAGAGGGAGGACGGACCTTCCCATATGATCGTCGATATAACGCTCTTCAGGCAGCCCTTGATGCCTTCCAAAAATAACGGAGCCTGGTTGAAGCTTAAGTAAACTTGCAACTCGGCGGGCTAGTTGGTGTTGGGTAGGTTCGTCGAATAGATGGAATAGGGCCCCGGTGTAGAAATGTGATATAGCTCCTCGTAACTGTCCAATCTCCGTCACTTTGGATATATCAATGGCAGGGGGAGTGTCAGCTAGTTCGACGGGAATGTCGAATATATCGGAGGTAAAGAAATGGATTGGACTGCTGTCCTTATCCTTATAGAGCTCGTATCCAGTATCAATGAACTCTTGACGTAGGTCACAGCCTAATACATGTTCTGCCGGGTAACCATCGAATACGAGCTTTCGAACATCCGATCCCACTGAAATAAAATATATGGTTCAGAAATGGTATCAATAATGATGGAAATAAACAGCACTGACTGCAACAACCAAGATCTATAAAAACTGTGTCGTTGCGTTTTCCGTCTTCAAGAACCTTCGGGTAAACGGGATTCTGGGACACCATTAAATTTACGAAATGGAATGCTCGGATGCATGGATACGGATGCTCGGCACTGAAGATATTCATAGACAGAGGGTGCAGCTGTTAGCCCATATCATGCATATCAGCGCCATGACGAGCGGGAACGCACTATGCTCTGTCGGAAATGACACATGTTAGCATGTAGATTTCTGAGAGTCGGTCAGCGGCCGTAGGTCAGATGAGCACGTACTTTGCCTGAACTGAAAGTATTTTGGCCTTTAACGCATCGTCGTCTTCAGAGATTGTCGCATGGAGGAAGGCCCTTTCCTCGTCTGACAGTGTCAAGATGGAAGGATCCAAGGGTGGTATCACCGAAGGATCTAATTTGACTTCCTTCGTAATTTCAGGCATTCCTCTTGAAATAGTGATTTCCTATCCAGAATAATTTCAATGAACTTGAAGACAGGAAGGCGGATTTCCAACTATGAACCACTTACTGGAGTAACTGTTTGTCTCGCCCTGGTCAGATGAGTGATGTCACACTGACAGAAGGTCCGTAAGCTCAAGCTCGATATATAGAGCAATCACAATTGTTCTCACCTGCATGAGACTACATGAGATGAATCTGGTTACCTCTGACGCAATAGCACACTCGCCATGCGAATATCTCGGAAGCATTGCCATCAGAAAGTAGACCCAGCGGACCGAGTCCTCAGGCCTCAGTACTCAGTTCTAGCTTTCAGTTTCCATCTCGTTTCAGGTGGGTTCAGGAAGCATACCAGTCGCTCCTTTACAGAATAAGAGATTTAATGATATGAGTGGAGCCCATACTGAGACAGAATGGGTAAATAGAAACTAGACGGACCAAAGCCACACAGGTAGGTATCCGTAGTGACTCTATCACGGTTGTCCGAGAGTTTGCATAGTAAAAAAGGTTGGATTCTTGAAAACACCGTGACAAACCTACACTCAATCCTTCGACACGAGATCGAACCAGGGACCCCAAGATAATTGACAAGGCAGCCGGTGCAGTCTTGCGCTCTTCCAGCTGAGCTATCGAAGGAGTCAGCAGTAAGGAAATTGCACTATGTTGGCTTCTATAGATTTAATGATATTGAAGTTCAAATGCTAAGGTTATTACCGTCATCATTAACTGGAGCAAAAGCGACTTTGAAGCGAAGTCGTACTTATAGTGTACAGTAATAAAGTAAGTAAGTACTATATAACTGTTATCGAGGTAAACCGGTTACCGTATCACTGATTTAGCGCCAAAAGGATGAACTTCTAGATCAATTGACTCACCTCCACTTTCTTAGTTCTTGACCCTTCTCTTTCTCTTCGTTCAAATTAAATATCATATTCATTACTCACTAGCATCTCACAGGTCGTGGACTCTTCTGATCGCATTGCCATTATGAAAATGAAACGGCAGAAGTTCAGCTCCATTATGAGCTGGCTTCCTTGAAAACTTACAATGGACTAAGTAAATACCGTCCAAGACCGTCCACCACCGCTCACCTCCGTGCACTCGCTCCGTGCACTCATTCTCACTGCTAGGAATGAGCTGCCGAAAGCAAAAAGGTTCCGCACACGAGATCTCGTTCCGAGGGCTGTACCATCAATCTAGAGCACTCTCCTTTGCAAAACACAAAAACTGGAATATCGGCATGCACCTACTCCGAGTCGCAATGATCGATGTTCACGCTAGCAATGGATTGGGAAGATGGGCGTGATAGTACGTGACCTTCGCAATCTTTGGGTTATTTTTGAATACGGCTAGTCTGCCGATCGCCTGGAATCATAGAAATTTGAATGGGTGCTCTTCTACGACCGACCTGCATCCGTTACTTGCACTTTGTCCATTAAATCGATCTGCTAATGTTTAAATTTATCGGCAGCCCTGTACTGCCTGGGAAAGTTACCGAAACAAGGAGTATATCGTATCGAAATGGAAAAACGTTTGGTAGATTTCCTGACGCCCGGCAATTCAAATAATTCTCACCAGCTTTGGAGGGGGAAGCAAGTGCCATATGCTACTCTATCAATCTGTCACAGGTGAAAAATGAACGAAGCACCCTCACACCCGCTATATATACTCACTCGTCAGTTTCATCGCTCACCCAGAGCGAAGTTTCTCCCGACTGCACTCTTGCCAGTCCCTTCTTTGGCTGTTCCCTGCCAACAAGCCTATCCTCACCTCCCGTCTGTGAGACACTATGGCTGGCTTGCAATCCGATGACGCTGTCTATCAAGGATACGCTGAGGCGAAGAGGCACGACTTCGAGTTACGCAAGGACTCGGAATCAGATCATGTCGTCTCATCTGCAGGAGAGCATGAGCCTGAGCTCGATGGGATTCACGATGGACTCGAGTTCCCTACAGGTAAGTTCGTCGTTATCGTCCTGAAATAATATCGTTGATATCCTGACGTTCAAATTAGAGGAAGAAAAGTTAACTCTTCGTCGAGTCGCGGACAGTGTCCCATGGAATGCATATCGTAAGCGCCCATTGAACGGATATTAGTTTTAAATACTAATCTATGAACTTGTAGTTATCGCCTTCGTCGAAGCTGCTGAACGTTTCTCATACTATGGCACGCAAGTCGTCTATGTAGGCACCCGATTATCAAAAAACCACAGCGAACTCAGCTTATTTTTTCTCTCTAGACCAATTTCATTCAACAACGTCTTCCCCCTGGTTCACGGACTGGAGCGGGTGGCAGGGATGGCCAGTCTGGTGCGTTGGGTATGGGCCAACGTGCCTCTACCGGCCTCAACACATTCAATCAATTCTGGTAAGTAACTCCTTGTCCCTTCGACCTCAATCGAGTGTTCACGTCGATCTAGGGTTTATATCATCCCCCTCTTCGGTGCTTACCTCGCTGATACTCGATGGGGTCGTTTCAAAACCATCTGCATCTCAGTGGCCATTGCTCTGATCGGCCATGTCCTTCTCATTGTCTCCTCAATACCGGGTATCATTGATCACTCGCATGCTTCGTTGGCCGTCTTTGTTGTCGCTCTCATCGTCATGGGTTTGGGAACAGGTGGTTTCAAAGCCAACATATCCCCCCTGGTCGCAGAGCAGTACAAGCGCACCAAGCTCTTCGTTGCAACCACAAAGTCTGGCGAGCGTGTTGTCGTTGACCCCAATCTTACCACCGCTCGTATCTACATGGTATGTTATCTCGCGGCTGCTAAAAATAGTTTGTATTGATTCCTCGGGCATCTAGTACTTCTATCTTTTCATCAACATCGGTGCCCTTATTGGTCAAATTACCATGACCTACGGAGAGAAGTACGTTGGCTTCTGGCTGGCGTACACTCTTCCCACTGCTATTTTCTTGCTTTGCCCAATCGTTCTTGCTATCGGACGCAACAAATACAATCGTTCAGCCCCTTCCGGTTCCGTCCTTGCCAACGCTCTCCGAATCTGGCGACTCGCTCAGAAAGGACGTTGGTCGTGGAATCCTGTTCAGACCTGGCGCAACCTCAACGCCGACGACTTCTGGGATAGCGCTAAGCCCAGCCATTTCCGTGGCGAGGCTCGCCCCACATGGATGACTTTCGATGACCAGTGGGTTGATGAGGTCAAGCGTGGGTTCAAAGCGTGCTCCGTGTTCATGTGGTACCCTGTCTACTGTAAGTACCTGATTGCTTTATCTAAATCTGTAGCGCCTACCGATGTTTACCCTTCCTCTCCCCAGGGCTCACGTATAACCAATTGAACTCCAACTTGACATCACAGGCTGCTACTATGGTTGTCAACGGGGTCCCCAACGATGTGTTGTCGAACCTTGACCCTTTTGCGCTGATCATCTTCATTCCCATCTGTGATATGTTCATCTACCCCGGCCTTCGCCGCATTGGTATTAACTTCAGCCCCGTGAAGAAGATTGCATTCGGATTCTTCACCGGCGCCGCTGCCATGGTGTGGACAGCTGTTGTTCAGCACTACATCTACCAGCGCAACCCATGCGGCAACCACGTCGCCACCTGTGCAAACCCTGACGGAACAGTCATCACCTCCGACCTCAACGTCTGGATCCAGACTGGCAGTTACGTCCTGATTGCCTTCTCTGAGATATTTGCGTCGATCACGGGTCTGGAGTACGCGTTTACCAAGGCCCCAAGGAACATGCGTTCGCTCGTCATGGCTGTCTTCCTGTTCACCTCCGCCATCTCGGCTGCTCTCGGCGAAGCATTCGTTTCGCTCTCAGCTGATCCTCTCCTCGTGTGGAACTATGGTGTTATGGGTGTTCTCGCTGGTGTCTCCGGTGTCATCTTCTGGTTCCAATACCGCCACCTCGACTCACAGGAGGACGAACTCAACGAGCTGAGCGAGGGTTACTACGAGGACCCTGACGCGATCGAAGAGACTCCTTACAACCACGGAAAGGCACAGTGATATGATGGTGGTTAGGCGGGCCTGATCGTGACTGTTTTTTGCTTTCTTGCTTTATTTCTTCACCTTATTTCAGGTATCGACGCCTGTGGTATACCGCCTTGCATTCCTTGACCTTCCTCCCTTCTTCCCTGATGCGTAATGATAGTGTATGTTCGTCAACGATGTTAGACGTGTATCTGTACTTTTTGTTCTGCAGACTTTGGTTGTTCGTATTAGTACTAATGGTTTTCGAGTTAGCAAATGAAACGACCTGTTATTGACTGTACTTTTTTTGCTCGTGTGACCGCGTCGATCCTCACCATTTCTATGTTATCGCGTCATTTACACCTTGACAACATATGTTCCTGCCCCTTCAGGCTTCCGGTCCTTTGACTGACCTGACCATGCGTTACATCCGATCTGCACTGACATAACAAGGTGGTAATCTGATAACCTCCAGCATGAACCGTTCTGCATTAGCTGTCTAATTTGCCCCAAGTGTTTAAGATGTGTGGGTCATCGTTGGTCCCCCTCCGGTAACAAAATCCCGGAATTATCGGTGTTTTTAGGCTCGACTTTGTTAGATCTCAATTTTTTATTAATTTTTTGGTTGCAAGGGGGTAAAGGGCCTTGGCCTAGGTCGCGCACGTGGAATTCGGTGCCATTGATCGCGTGGCAGATGATGATTTCTTCCAGACATTCAAGTTCACGTTGCGCTTTAGGTAAGTTACTTCGATGATATCCAGACTAGCTAATACATAAAATAATGTACTTGACAAAGGCGACATAGTTTCTATGGTTTCCCATGCAGGTTGTAGCAGAAGTGTCACTGCTTTAACACGGAGCCATGGACGTACACGTATCCCACCCGCGCCCCCTTTTCGTCGAGGGTTTCATAGTATTGACCATAAGTCCGTCATAACCTTCCCAGAAACAACTAATCCTACCTCACTATCATCTTTTCGCCGACTGGTGGACGCACCGGATGCTGTACCACTGCTCTTTCGGTCACCGTCTCCAGCTAAGGAACAACTGTCTCGAGCTAAGCAGCTCACGGATGTTCTCAAACAGAGCGGCGATACACTTGTAGAGGTTGAGCACGGAAGGTATGATCAAGCAGCGACGGGCTCATTCGATCGTGTGGAGATGCCCCTTGGGTATTACGTCAACTGGCTAGAGTCCAATGAGAGCGACGGTGGTTTAGTTGGCGGGAAGCAGCTCTACCTCGCTCAGTGGAGACCTGGAGAAGTCGTAAGACATCTGGACTCTTATTCTTGCTCCTCGTGTGCTTATCCTTCTGTTTCTCCACCCCGAAGAGTAACAATGCACTGAAGAGGTTGATTCGCAAACCAACCGTTCTGTCAGCTTTAGATCAAGAATGCACCATCGACTCATACGGCAACAATTTCTTTATAGGGCCAACTGGAGCGGTATGCCAGTCTTTTTCGGACTTGCATATTTATCGACTCAAAGGAATTTAGGTGACACCTCTGCATTACGATCCATATATTAACTTGTTCCATCTCCAAGCTTCCTCCCTCCCGAAACGTTTCGCAAAGCACGTCACGCTCTTTCCGCCCTCTGTTTCACACTTACTCAGACGAGAAACAAACACCACTCTTCGGAACACCTCACCACACGAACTTACGCTCCGGCATACACCAACAGGCGACTTCG